TGTACTTAAAAAATACCATAAGTCATGGTGTTAAAACTGAGTATGTGAGCGCTTAGAGATTAAAAAAATGAAAAAAAAAGTTGGATTTGATGTTGATTAATAATAATTGAATATATTATTAAATCATACAAAACGTAACTAATATGGCTTTTTTAATCAACCATTAATATTTAAAAAGAAATATTGGATATAAAATTTACAAATAATAGTGAAGCGCCAAGTTTTAGTTTAGTTTTTATATTTCATCATCATATTACCGTAATGCATATAAAATTCAGAACTTGAGTAAGGTTAAAAAACACATTAATTAACTAAAAGCTTGACATTTGAACTACTATAATAAAAAATTACAATCAAACATAAAATGTAAAAATCTTTTAGTTTATACGAAGAGCTACAAATCAACAACGTTCACAAAATCAAATCTAACTCAAATTTACGTAAAAAAAAAGAGTTATCAACTTTACATAATAGGGAGTGCCTTTCAAGTAAAAAAAACTACTATGTTTTTAAAATTTGAAAGTAAATAATTAGATAAAGTAAATTAAGTAAATAGTTAGAATATACTAATACCGTTATTGGCACTACGAAGCATATGGTCCAACAGATAGTTGTGGCCATAAGAGGTGAAGTGAGTAGGGAAAGGTGTGTGATGCCTTGAAGGATAGTTCAGGATGCGAAAATTAATAGAGGAATCTATAGACCCATCAAGTAAACTTTTAATGAAACGAAAACGGCACCGATTCGACGAAAAGAGAGTGTGGAGATATATAGTGATCTAATAATGGTTGAATAGTCATGTTGGGGATGGTTAACTTTGAGGAAGAAAGCAATATATGAAAGAAATCTATTCTGAAATATGTCTAGCCTTAACGATTCGTACTAATTGTATGCAATAACTATAGGCAAATTGTAAGTACATTATTATCTTTACAGTGCATTTATAAATTCTTATTTGTATTGTTAATATATAAAATATACAATCGGTAGCAATATACACATTAACAATTACATTAACAACAACATTATGCGTTTTTTCCAAAGTGATTTTATCAACCAGCAATTGTTTTTGTCTTGACTTCTTCCGTTTTTCTTTCCTCTAGTTCTAATTATTTTTATTACAATTTAGCTATTTAAAAACTTTTTTAAAACCCTATCGACATTTTAAAATTAATGGTGAGTGCTTCATTTGATTTTCATAACGCAAACCATTTCATAACAAATCCTGATTTGACACAGTAATAGTATTTATAATCTGTTCTTCCTATTTCCAAAATTGTAAATTAAATTCCTTATGCATTTCCAGAAACTTACAGATAATTGTTACAGTAATAAATATCCAATTATTGCTCGACATAAACACACATATGAATATATTCTTTAGACTGATTCAAAAATGTATATTTTTTTTTGTATCCACAAGAAAAATGAGTACAGCTTGGTGAAAATGTGTCTTTTTGGCTAGTAGCAATAGTATTTTTTATTATCGTTTAAAGGACACAAAAGATGTACTATCTTTTTGTTTTAATTAAGCATAACTCATTACATTTTCAAGAGAAGTGGTTTTAACTACTGGCGTTTATGAAAAGACTTTTGAGATTGTTTATAGCTATATTTAAGTTAAAAAAAAAAATTAAAAAAAAAAAATGATCAAATCATGCCAATATTTTTACCGATACTATTAAGAGTGGTCCCAGTAAGTTTTAAGTACTCAAGTACGATAGTCATACTTAAGGTTATGTTACATTGGTTTTACGGACTATTAAAGGCAGGTTAGATATGAAAAATAATAACATAACATCTATATGTGCTAATCGTATGAGAAGAGTACATTATTTGGTTCGATAAAATTTTCAAGTTTTGACGATTTGCAACGACCTTCGAATTTTCTACGAAAAAAGTAACACTAAGGTGTACACAAAAAAAAAATTATAAGAAATTCTAAGATTGACAGTTTTATATAATATTTTTGTCGTTAGATCGAGATATTTTTCTGCTTAAATTATTTTGAATATTTTTCGGTGGCAAAAAAAATGTGCTAAAATATTCTCATGTGTGCACAAGAGCCGAAATTGTATGTTTTTCGAAAATATATTCGATTTATTGTAATGGAAAACCCTGGAGTTCTGTCAACCCCCATCCCTCCGGGAGAAAGGCTGAACGTTTTCAAAATTCATTTGGCGCAATTTGAATATTTAAGAACTGAAAATTGAGGTGTTTCTATGCAAAACGTGTAATATCCAAAAACAACTTTTTTCTGGAATAGCGATTTCCTGTATCAAAAGAACTAAATAAGTTATAGCATAAGTTGAATATTTATATGATTCAAGATGATGATTAGAAAAAAAAAATGTTTGCGAAATAAAATTAAAAATATTTTTTCACTACTTTTTAAATGATTTTAAAATAGGATTTGGTGCAAAACGTGTTATTTCCAGACATAGTACGATTTGAAAAAAAAATTGTAATAGTCCGTTTCGCAAATAAGAATTACTTTTTAACTAATAACAAATTAATTAACTATATAACAGAGATGGCACTTGCATTGCCAATATGTGCTTATAACTGTATTTTGGGTATTATGGTGGATGCGATTAGGGTTCCATATATCGTAGAAATGTTAAATTATTAGTAATAAATCAACATTTTTGTTTAGATACTTGTTGACTTTTTCATGTATTTCCTTAATAATATAAAGTTTGACTACAGCTTTTGGAAAAGTCGTACGTCGTGTTATAGCTCCACTCTAGTTTTCCGAACTTAAGCCCTGAAACTACACGAAAAAAGTGCAATAAAAAAAAATCTCGTTCCCTTTTAGAGAAAGGGTTAAAAATATTTGTTTGGTTTTTCAACGTTTCGAAGGGGAAGGCGGGAACTTTTTACATTTTTAGGACCAATTAAGTACCTTTCATGTACGAACTGCGCCTAATTGAACAAAGCAGCTTAGCAGTTTGGAATATAATATATCGAAGTTCCAGATACTGTTAAAACAAAAATAATTAAAACACTCTATCCCATATTGACAAAGGATAACTGTTAGAAAATCTGTAAGAACAATTTGGCGAAAAGTGTAAGAACTATATAAAACCAATTTGTCACTTGTTAAAAATCACAGTTCTATTAGTAGGTAATTATACACAAAAAGTTATTTTGACCGGAGAGTAATATTTTAAATCAGACAAATATTTAATTAAAAACAAAAAAAAATTCAAATTTTGTCTTTACCGACCACGGACATATTTACGGGTTTGGTAAAAGTGTCTATGTTAATTTTGTTATTTCATTATTTTACTAAGTATACGTGTTGACTACGGTAACTTGATTCTCCATTCTTGTTTTAAAATAAATTTCAAAAATACTACTGCGTGTAATTATTGTTTAAAGTTAGAAAAAAAATCAGATTTTTAATTTAAAGTTTATTCTTGTATATAACGTAGTCTAGTATCAGAAGTAACATGTCTACAAAATGTGTTTGAATTCTTTTAACATAAGGTAATACATTTTAGTTTTGTTAATTGAAAAAAGCTAGTACAGTGAGGTCAGGGGGGCATCGATTAGGTTTTCAACGTTTGTCGGTAGTAATATGCCTCAAGAATATTTTATACAAATTTGGAACTAATTAAACTATTTTGAAAAAATATATGGAGCGTCGATTCAGTGGCATAAAGTATTTCTTGTGTACAGGCAATATAAATATAATTTATAAATACAATTTCTTCTCAGCTATTGAATAGAAAGCTAAAAGCAAGTCTAGTATTAGAATTTTCAAATCTTGTGTTCAAAATTGTATAAAATTACAATGTTAATCTTTTAACATGAAAAACTCAAAAAAAAACATTAAATTTGCCATTTTAGTGTAAGAATTATTAAGCGGTGTTGGGACAAGACAATAACTTAAAAATTATCTAGATAAACAAATAGACATAAAAAAATGACAATATTTAATTTAGATAAATCTCAACACTGTTTGCAAGTCCTCTAAATGTGTTTAAAAATCATATTAAAATAAAATATAATTAATATTTAATTTGCAAGTTGTGTTATAGAATTTGCAAGTCAACCAAATTGCAAACTAATTAGTTTAGTGTATTTTATTTTAAGATAATTTTTAATACATTTAGTGAACTTGATAATTAAATAAAACAATTTGCTAAATAAATAGTTAGCCAAATTAGGCAAAAGTTATTTTACAACCATATTTTGGTGCAATTATTTTTTATTTTAGTCATTATTATAGGGCAACTATCAGTTGTTCTCCGGTTTTAGCTTAAAAAAAATTGTATAGAAAAAGTTTATATAATAGACCTTGAATTTATGTGCAAAACAACAATATATTTTCATTATTTTTAGTGTTTTATTTTTTTAGTTTCGTAGCAATGTGAATATTAAAACATTAGTTAAAGCCCACAAAATACACGTTTTTAAATCAATAACATCCTTTAGAAACAATTTTATTAATTTGGAATTTACCACACAATAACGCGTTTGAAAAAAAAATTATGTAGGATTAGTTTTCGTACCCGCATTGTTCTTATTTCAATAAAATATTTTAAATCAATTCAATACCATTGTGGTTGACCAGCCAGGATATTTTTTCCATAACTGGCTATTTATATATAATATATACTAGACTGTTTTATTTAGTCACTCATCATTAGAACTCCGTATTGGTGATGTTACCTCTAACATCAAATTTCTATACAATAACCAATAAGATGAATTAACTATTAGAAATATAAACGATGAACTTGTCATCCAAATTTGCACAATCATTTAAAAAAGGGAAAAATATAAGGTAAGGATTTAGAAGCAGTAATAAATAAATGAAATAGATAGATGAAAAAATTCAATTTTACTTATTCGGTAATTATTTATTTTTTTGGTAGACATGACATAATACAGAAATAAACGTATAGCATAACGTATTTACTGTCAAAAAAAAAATGTATTATGTAAAATATATCATTGAAAAAAACCTAAGACGGTTGTTTTTCCGTCAGCTTAAATATATGTATAATATTTTTAGATTTTTAATTTTATAGTGTATATAGTGATCATTTTAAGGTAAACTATAATATATTATGTAAAGAACAGAATACAGGTGCCAGTGTTTTTCTGACATTAAGTTAGTATGTGGGTGCAGTTCGTTGATGCCCTTGTTGTAAGTTTTCCTCGAGTGTAATGACTGTGCCATAACGGTTTCTTACTGTCCATGTACCACCGATTTTCCTGATTGTCGTTTCGAAAGAAGCACAACTGTTTAAGGTACATGTACTGCTAGTTGAGTCAATGTTAACTTCGTTTATGTATGCCATTGGATTTTGTGTACTCCAGTACATTCCAAGCAAACGACAATTGGGTAACGATATAACATCCTGCTCAGATCCTGATAAAAAATTTGAAACATTTCTTTTTTAATTTGCTAATATTAGCTTACTAGTTACTACTTATCCTTATGGTACAAAAAACAACGATTTTTTTTGTTAATACGAAGTCATAAAAAAATAATACAATAGACATGGTGTCGTATTGAACAGCCGTGATATTTGTATTACATGCAAGTACGTGTTAGTAGTTATAATTTATTTAGTTAATAGTTAAAATCTAAAATAAGTTGTATCCTTGTCCTATTAAATAACTTATATATATATATATATATATATATATATATAAGTTCAAAAACCATACAACTCCATAATAATATTTACCTAATATACGACGTCTAATTAGATTTTTTAAAGACCAAGCAACATGTTCTCTTCTCAAGTATGCAAGGTTTTTCAATGTATTCTCAACTATAACAATAATTATTAAAAGACCGTGTTGTGAAGACATAATTATGATAACTAATATATTGTTCGCCAATTGTGATACAACTAACTTTTTGTACAAACACATATTATTGTTGAACCTCAACAAATGTACTTTTTCTATACTTCAAATCCCAAAGAATTTATTACTCATTAACACTGTAGTCTCACTTTCTCTCCCTCTTTCCTCAACAAAAAGTTGAATTTATTACAATTGTTTTCTGTCATAAAAATTAAATAAATAAAATGTAGCAAAGATCAACTCTAAAACAAGCTTTTAAGGCCATTTATGAATACCAAACAAAAAATAATTACCAGCAAAACGGCCTACTCTCATATCAATTTCTGTAAGAAACACATCAAACATCAAATTATTATGTAGTTAATAATAACTTAATAAAGTCCCGGTTTATATATTTTATACATAACATTCACTCTATAACATAGGTTAATTAAATCAATTATAATTAATGCAAAATATTGTTGTATAAGTGTACATTTATATCTTATAACAATTTTTAAATAAATGGTTTAAATTTTATTTCGAACGATTCTTAAAAACTTAATCATAAAACATATATAGTTTTTTTAAAATTTAAAAATACATTCTTTTTTATATTTACCTATTTCACTCAGTAAGTCAGCAAGCATTTTGTCGAATAAATCATTGACATCTAAAATTTATAACAAAATACATTTTAATGTACCCACATATATTTTATTATTGAAACCGATATATCATATTGGTGTTTGTCAACAAGTACATATTATTGTCAAAGTAATTATAAATAATAATATGCGATAAGTATAATAAATATATATATAAAAAAAGGTTTTTATTTTGCATTAGGTGAACTGGAGGTTCTGAAATTAATACAAAATTCTCGTGTGCATAAAGAATATCAAACAACTGCTTGGAAACGCTTCCATAAAGTGCAATGAAATGTATTACCTGTTCTTCCCAAGAGAATTTCTGTATGGTCTGAAATTAACAATACAAAAATTAATGTTACATCATTTTATTTTATATTCTATTATATATGAAATATTGGAAATAATTTTATAAAATTTAACAAAATCTATTACCCGGTACAGCCATCAAAAAACAAATTATGCCTGAAATTAACATTAAATAAATAAATGATATTGAATTGAATTTGCTATAGTAAATAATTAGTTATTACATTATTCATATATAAATTATAAGACAAAAGTCAAAGTAGAAAAAACTATTTTTTATAGACTAGTTGATGTAGTTTAGGCGATGAGAATAAAATATACTAATCAGACGAGGTTGGTAGAGCTAACATCAGTTTTTTTTTATAAAGCTTCTATACAAATTTCGGTAAAAAATAAAATAATTATAAAACTCATCAGTTGCATTAAGTGAGTATGAGATGAAGTTTTTATATAATTTTCAAATAAATTTTCTACTCTTATCTTGATGTTTTTATCATTATTATAACTATTATTACGGAAATCTTGGTAGGTCGGGTCATTATTGACATTATCAACCATTGTCTCAATTAGATACTCCAATCCATCTAGAATAAACAAATGAAGATTTTTGCTATACTAAAATATTAAAATTAAATCAAATTAGGTAAGGCAAAGCTTCTATATATATTAGCATATTATTTGAAATATAATATCTTACTTAATCTAGATCTACTTCCTACAGTTAAATCATTTTTTTCGTAAGCAAGTTTGATGCCAATAGCTGTGACACATAATTTTAAAAATATGTATAAAAACACTAAATTAAAAAAAATTACAAAACATTTTTTTTTTAATTAAAAATGTTACTGACTTGTAAGGTGCACAAGTTTCATATAAAGATCTGTAAAAAAGTGTAATATTGATTTTTTTTTAAATTTTAACTAATTTAAGTTTATAACTGTGATAATAAAATAACTACCATAAGGTGCCAAAACTTCCACAAAGAATAAAGATATTAATAAACAGAAGAGTTTCATTTTTATCTGCAAATAATAATAAATAAAAAAACATTTTATATTAGTCACAGTTACCTCCGGTTTAAAGATGAGAAGGTTATAGTTTTGCGGGGCCATTTTAATATTATAAATATATACGAATATATGTATGAATATTTTTCTACTTGACCCTCACAATATTTTCTAGACCGTTAACTGAATTTTTTGTATAGAAGTTAGAAATTAAACTAGAAAGGTTGATTATTTGGCCAAAATTACAGTAATCTCACTATACTGAGGATTGACAAAAATAAAAATAAGTCTGTTGACTATTTATATTGCATAGTAAAAAACTTAGGTTACACTATTCAAAATAGAAATTAGGTAAAAGTATTCAGCTAAATGCTGTTATTAAAGTCAGACATTATATCCACTTAATTTTCAAGCGTCTAAACTTGACTACGCATAATGGTTCCTATTCAACCCATGAGGATTTAAAGCGAAACATTTAGAGAGTTAATAGTGGAATGAAGATAACGTTTTAGAGAATATCAAATCCGTTTTAAAAAAATATCCTTAGAAGTATAGTTATTACCGTTATATAAAGTATTAACATATATTTTCAAATATTAGACTATGATGTACTGAATTGATGAAATTATAAAATATAACTGTCTTAATAATGAAGAAAAAAAAAATGTTAAAAAATATTTCGTCCAAGTAAAAAAAGGAATATTCAGCAAAATGATTTAGCTTTTATAAGTATTAAATTGATTTTAGCGTTTTGTTTTAAAATCGTCCAAATTAACAACTTAAAAACATGAAAAAAAAATTTGTCTTATATTTTTAACTTAATTTTTAAAGGGAATATTAAAGTTTATTTTTTAACATTGACTTTTTCTTAACCTAAGACTAATTTTTTTTTGAACGATGAACAAAAAAACAAAGAACACGGATGGTGAAAACCTATTTTTTGTATAATATTTATATTAGATTTATAATGTGTATACAATTATCAAACAAACAATAAATTATAAATGATTTTTCGTAAGTCAAATAAGAAAATAGATGTTTCGTAAATTTTAGCATTTAAACTATTTTCTTCCTTAAATATCGGCATTTATTTTCTAGACCGCAGCTACGCTCTTATAAATATAGAAATCGTTATTTGCAAATTTCTGTAATCCGATTCTTATGTTTTTTTGTGGTTTTGTAATCAATTTTTTTTTCATTTGGAACATGACTACCTAATATTTTTCTTAAAAATTAAGTAAAAGAAAAAAAAATTGTTTTTAATTTTGAAATTTTATTTTTAACGATTAAAAAAAACTTTAAATAAAATTGTACACATATAGGAATTTAGTTCCCTACACAGTTATTTTTTTTCATCTTTGTACTGTTCAAACTTTTTGAGTTATGTTTGAAAATCTAAATCATTTTGATGAATGTTTCTTCTTTGAGTTTTACGGATGAAATATTTTCTTAAATTTCTATTAATCTTGGTTGTGCATGTATAAGAGATCTACTTTTGTGAGGTATTATGAAAACGATTTTAAACCGCCTATTTCCAATACACATCCGTAACTACACTTCAAGCCAAATAACGAAAAAAACCAACAACATTTATAGAATTGTCTCCGAAATGTGGACTGGGTAAAACAATGATAAACAATGGATAATAAAATAACTAGAAATAAAAGTTTTTTTACCATAAAACCAGAGTCTTAAATCAAATATTTTCGTATAATAACGGAAGTGGGCCAAGATTTATTTCTATTTTTTTTAATAATGAAAAGTTTTCCGGGTGGTCACCCATCCTGGATCAAACAGTAACAGACACAGCTTAACCTCAGATGCCGCGTGGCACACTGCGTCCTCACAATGCCCCTGTATTATTTTTAATGTTATTCGTAGGAACATTTTTCACTTTTCACTCCCAAAATATGCAACAAATCAAAATTTTCCAAAACATGTTTTGTTTTTTATTTTTTTTTTAAATAAAAAACTGAAATTAAATTTTTTTTTTAGATTTAAAAAAAAAAATCGTTGTAAATTTTGGCCCACTCTCGTTATTAGACGAAGAGATTTTATTTAAGTCTCTGATTTTATGATAAAAATTTCAGATGTACAAAACTAGTCGAAATCTATTTTTTTTTTTGAAAAATTACATAAAAATCCTTTATTTATGGAGCAAAAATTAGTGGTAAAAATTTCAAAAAAGTAAAAGTCTTATATTAGACCAAACGTAGTTTAAAAAAAATGTTCAAAAAATATTTAAAGAGTTCAGGCCAATGACCGCGTGGTTTGACTCAGAAAGCCTCATAGTTAAACATTTTAGAGTTAAATAGAAATACTTACTTAAATTGTGGACTTGGTAAGAGGTTCTTGGACAACAAACGACTTGTTCAGCTATTGAAACTAAATGTACTGCTTGCGACTTATGGCTGTGCTTATACTTCAACTAGAAAATCAGAATTCTAATAGGCTTTTGTTGTGTAACTATGTTCATTTATGTACACATCAGGTTCAATTTTTTTTTTTTGTGATTTATCGTGTACATACTTTACTTGGAAAGCGGAGTTTAGACTATTTTATTCTACACACTACTGTTAAAATAAAATATATATATTATTCGTCGGAACAGTATTTTTTTTTTTTTATTTTACTATGGTTTTACAAAAACTGTTTCAACGGTTACAAATATTGAAATTCAAAACAACCTTAACGGTATTGAAATACTAAAATTCGAGTAACGTAAATTATATTATGATGTGTTATAGCTAATTGAAATATACTAATTATTTTCTGCAATAATTTATAACAATGTGCCTTATGCTAATTATGTTTAATCTAGAACGAATTGATCTGATTGATTTGACGACATTCGGTTTAGTTTATGGTTAGGATCACAAAACTGTGTTAAGTTTGAATTTTAATCAACCTCAGCAAGTTTACTACTGTGCTACCTAACCTACCTTGATTGTAAATAATAATCAACATTTACTATTTACAACATTATATTTGTCTACAAATTGTGAATAACAACAATATGTCCATATTCTACGCCTGACCCCACATTGCTTCTTTATTTTTTAGTTTAAAACTGTTGAGACTTAAACGCCAAAACAGTTTACGAAATTGCCACAATTTTGCATTATAATGTGCATTGGTGCATTTTTTGATAAAACGTGTGTACAATAAGTAAACAAATGAACTTAAATTAATTTAAATTTTCTTTAAAAGCAAATAACAGACAAAGTAAAATTAATAAGAAGTATCTACATTTTCAATATATGCACTTTAAGAAAATAATATTACCGTTGAACCGGATCGGTAAGGTTTTAAGGTAAATAATTTTTTTTTTACATTAAATTATTTTTCATCGATAAAAGCATGAATATTTTCAATGACAAAGTCTGGTATGAGTTGTTCAGTTTATTTTTTATTCTATGTGCAATAATATTAAGTATAAAAAGCCAGCACAATTGGGTCAGGTACACATTTTTATTTTTAGAAACAACTGTTTCACGGGCGACGAGTAATCATACACATATGTACACCAAGAAAACAGTATATTACAAGATGGATATTTCAAAAGGCGGTTTGATTCTTTGTAATACAAGCAAAACAGTATCATTCTAAAATTGTTCAGACCTTAACGTCAAAACCGTTCACGAAGTAGCCATAAATTTGCATTATAATGTGCATTTTTAGATAAAACGTGTGTACAATAAGTAAACAAATGAAAAAGTTTTTCAGCCGAGTCTACAACCACGAAAGAGCATTTTCATGTCTCGTTGAAGTATTGAAAAAATTTAGAGTAGTGATGGAATTATAGATAATGAAATAGTATATTACAAGCAGTAACAAGCTAGTATCTAAGGTTAGTAAACAGTAACAGGCTAGTAACATATCAAGTTTCTGGCTAATATTTTTGTGTTTTCATTATATCTGGCCTGAAACAATTCATAGAGAATTTGGCCCTTTAAACTATTCTAAATTTATTATTTAGTTCTAGTTTGATCGTTGTAAATACAACACATAATTAAAAATAACAGCTTAAACATTTTTTTGGTAACACTTTTTTTGGTTATGTGACAGAGCTAATTCCCACCCCCAACCCCATTCCAACCCCCAACCCTATATCTCTTATTTCTTATATCTTACTCTTACCCCAATCTCCTACCCCTACTTCTCACCCTATACCCTACCCCTATCTCCTATCTCTTATCAGATAACAGCGTAACGGTATTTTGGTAACACTTTTCGCTCGGTTACGTGCCAGAGCTGTTGAATAACTGTTTCATTTACTTCAACAAGACAATTTTGAGTAAATAAAATAGGACTTAAACAGAATTTTAAATAAAATCCAATTAGTCGATTTCTACATTAACCTAGAAATGGTTAGAATAGGGGTGGAATAGGGATGGGGGGTGGGAATTAACTGTGGTGCATAACCGAAAAAGTTTTTCAGCCGAGTCTGCAACCACGAAAGATCATTTTCATGTCTCGTTGAAGTACCGAATAAATTTAAAGTAGTGATGGAATTATAGATAATGATATAGTATATTAAGAAGCAGTAACAAGCTAGTATAATATTAAAACATCAAGTTTCTGGCTAAATTGTTGTGTTTAATATCTAGCTTTAAACAACAATTCATAGAGAATTTGGGCCCTTAAACTTTTTTGAATTTATCATTTATATCTAATTAGAACGTTGAACGTACAACATATCTCTTATCTCCTATATCTTACCCCTATCCCCTAATCACTCTCTTACCCCATCTCTTACCCTTATCTCCTACCCCTATCTCCAACCCCTATCTCCCAACCTCATCCCCATTCCCACCCCAAATCCCACTCTCATTCCCACCCTAACCCTAATACCAACTCCATTCTCACCCCTATCCCTATTCCCACCCCAACCCCACCCCATTAACATCCCCATCCCCACCTCAAACCCCAACTCCGCGTCCTAACGCTTTTTTCGCTTTTTATAGCCGGTCTTGGAGGGGTATAAAAAAATTACACACTTATCAAAAATAATATCTCAAATTAATCATTTCTTACGAGCAATAGATTAGTTAAGTGTCTTGCTAATCAATTCATTACGTTGGATAATATAATCATGTTGTTTGTGTATTTAGCGGGTTGGTTTCCCTATTACTATGTACAAAATATTATTGGAACATTGCCTACTTATAACTTATTTATTTAATTAATAGTTTTAGTATTTATTTAATAGTTTCTCGGTCGTTTTATGGTACAAACAAAACCACAAGGTTTGATGTAAATAATGAAAAACGTGTGCGAAGATACGCACTTGTGCCAAAATACGTCTCTGTTACTTTAATCTTTGTATAAACAAACTTTTATACTTAAACTACTCGCCGTAAGTTTAAGATATACAATAAGTTAATTTTTAATTTTTTTTTCTCGATTTTCAATGAGAAGGGATGAACTTTTTAGAACGATACCGATTTGCTTAAATTACAAAGTATCAAACCGCGTTTTGAAATATCCAACTTGTAAAATACTATTTTGTTGGTGTATTTGATTGTCTAAGATTACCCGTCGCCTGTAAAACAGTTGTTCACAAAATAAAAACGTGTACCGCTATGCCCCGACCCCACTGTGTGGGTTTTTTATACTTAATATTCTTGCACATAGAAAAAAAAATAAACTGAACAACTCATACCCGACTTTGTTATTGAAAATGTTCATGTTTTTATCGATGAAAAATAATTTAATGTAAAAAAAAAATTATTTACCGATCCGGTTTAACGGTAATATTCATTTCTTAACGTGCATATATTCAAAATATAGATACTTCTTATTAATTAAGAAGATATGATATTAAGTTAAAACTTAATCATGAGAGACGAATTATTTTGTTCTCTGCACGATATGATACTGCTTAAAATTAAGCATTTACTTTTTTTTTCTTACCTATAACATATTTTATTTTCTAAATCCCTAAAGCTTCTTGTAAAAGTGAAATGAAGAAAAAAAATTCTATCCCTTTAATGGAAACGGTTTAAATTCCACAAAAATTTGGAATTAATTCGACTATTTCTTAGAAGAATGCCAAAATCTTAATAAATTATTTAGTCGTTATTAAAATATGAAAAACAATACAATAATTATTATAAGTCTTAATTGGACGCTGCCCTTCGATGAAATCATAAAAAACTATAGCTACTTATAACTGTCCTATATCTACACTGTATTTTTCCCTTAACATTGGAATGGAATTTAAAAAAAATATATTTTGTATGACGTACATTTTCGTTTTTGTTTTATGTTTTAGTTAAATAAGTTTATATTAAAGTAAACAAAAACAGGAACAAGTAAATTTGAAACAGTTAACAAAAACGAAGCTATTAGAGGTATCAACAAAACCAACGTTTAACTAAAACCTTTCAAACGTGGATATTCATATGAAAAAAAACAATAATCCAATTTATCTAATAAAACAATTTAAATAAAACAAAAAAGTCGTTAAAAAGCATTACGGCTATTGTAGGAATCGATTAAGATTGTAGAACGATTATTTTCTAACGTGTATACATTTCTTTTACCAGATGCCTTAATTTGGGTTTCCAAACCATATGATGTTTAAGGTTTTAGTTTATGCACTGAATTTTCATTGTATAAAATGTGCTAGTATATTAATTATATAATAATTAATATTTTAATGGAATTAAAAAAAAAAAATTTGCACGATACAAATCGTCGGTTTTATTTTATGTTTTAGCTAAATTTTATATTACAGTAAATAAAAACATAAAATAGTGAAATTTAAACAGTAAACAAAAACACAGCTATTAGAGATGTCAACAAAACCGACGTTTAACCAAAGCCTTTCAAACGAGGATATTTATAGATAAAAATAATAATCCAATTAATCTAATTAGACAATTAAAAAAAAGTCGTTAAAATCCTTTAAATTTAATGTAGAAATTGAATAAAAAATTTAAAGGCTACGTCTCTTTTAATTGATATTAGAAACTTCAAAGTTTAATCAAATTCTATTTTACTAAAAATAAAAATAAAAATTGTATATCTAAATTTATATGTATAATTTATGCATATTATACCGGTTGCTGTAAGAAATTCCACAATCACCCCTCCCTAAATTCTCTTACAAAAGGGGAAAAAATTATAATGACCTTAAAAAAAATTGTATAATAAAAAACTGGTACTTGAGTAACTCAAACTCGAAACTCAATAGTATCATTCTCAATAGATGTCAATAAAAATGTTTTATTGATTTGATACATTTTTTTTTTTTGATTTAAGGTGTTTATGTTAAAATATACAAAATCTTCGAAAATCACAGTTTTCCACTAATTAATAAAAAACTGTAGTTCTGAATTTTTTTTTCGTTTGTTATGGATACATATAAGTTCTAACTCCTGACAAATTTT